CTTCCACCTCAGTTATGAAAGCCATTAATTCGCCATGTAACATCCCCCACGTCTTATTATGTTCAATTCACGCTTTATAAAAACAATTTCACTTAACATATCCAGTTATGACCTGTAGTTTCTTGAAAATATCGAAGAAATAACGCAGAAAATGTGTTTGAGTTTATAATTGAGGAGTGTTTGTAAACAAAGCTGCAAGTGCAAAAATAGAAAACTTTAAATTTTGTATTGGAAAATGTTTCACATACCAATGAAAATACCGTGGTATAGAATTTAAGCGCAGTTCCCCTGGTATGGAGAAAATGATAGAAAAACAGTTAATTGTTTCTTGGCCTTTGTTTATATCATCCGACTAAATGAATGAAACATTGAATTTTCTTTGCAACTGATTTTGTTTACAACAGATGCACTTTTCATTTTCATGAATTTGAACTACATTAACGGATAAGCTTTCCTTTCCTCCGGAAAAACTTGTTTCTTGGCGTTTTCATCGCTCTTCGATTACTCACAGCACTCTAAACGGTAGAATTTTCCCAAAAATTCTAAGAAATTCTTCAAAAATTCTCGACAGAGACACACGTGTGAACATTCCTTAAAATGCCTTAAAATTTGCCATCAAACGAAAAAGGCAACTTGACTATAGAAAAGTTTAAAATGAAATCAACTGGCGAGAACGAGATTTGTCATTCGCGCGAAATCGCTTTCACGGAGGGCACGCCGGCTTTGGTTTTATTTTATCTCGGGGTATTAGAGCACGATTGCCTCCGAAGCCGAAAATTGCTTTGACCCGACCCCAACCGTGTCTCCGTTCGTCACCAGACTTCATCCATCCTTCGACCATTCTCGAAACATCCCCATGGATCAATTGATTCTCTCCGTAATATTTCTTCGGGACTCGAACTTGCTCTTCTATGGGATATTAACAAAAATCAGGGACCTTTGTATAAGAATCCGTTTGATCTTCAGCGGTTGTTACGCGAAAGTAAATATGAACAGTGTGTCGTTGCTTGGCCCTTTTTTTTATCTTCCTTGATAGGCAAATATCATAAATTTTTATCTATCTTTGCAAACTCACAACATTCGTTACATTGGCTTGATTTATGGTGAAATAAGGTGTTCCGAGTTATTTCGAATAATGCATTGTGCTATGTTGTAAAATATCAAAGATCTGTATCTAGAAGATAATATCGCTGAATCTAAATTTAGTATCTACAGTGACTTACTGAAGTATAATACTTGAACACTTTTATGAACATACACATTACTGTTTCTGTTATACGAAACATTGAAAAATTCCATTGCACTTTTTCACGACACGTAGTTATCATATTGATAAATTTTGAGACCAATACTGGAACGTACAGTACGTACCTAGGTGGGAAATAAAAGGTAAGAAAATGTTTATTGCAACTACATATATATGTTGCGAAGATCAGAAATGTATTTAAACGATCAATTAAATATTTCTTACATTAATAAACCTCAGTTCTAATTTTAAGACTAAGGATCTAGGACAATTGTTTTAAATGAAAAAATAAATAATTGTATTACATAAATGTTTTGTAACTTATACACATATATTAGGTCGTCTGAAAAATTTCTTTCGTTTTATAAGGAAATAATGGATGCGCAGGATTTTCCGTGTTATATTATTTTATCGAATTACGTATGATCCATTTTGTCCTACCAAACTAAAGATCACAACGTTCGAAAGATTAGGTTTCGTGTTTGATGCATTGTAAAAGACGTGTCTGCAAGAGAAAGACACTATAAACTAATATATATACAGGGTGATTGGTAACTGGTGGTACAAGCGGAAAGGGGGTGATTCTACGCGAAAAAAGAAGTCGAAAATATAGAATAACAATTTTTCGTTTGAGGCTTTGTTTTCGAGAAAATCGACTTTGAATTTTCGCTCGGTACGCGTGTAAAAAAAAAATTAAAAAATATTTTTATTCCATATTTTCGACTTCTTTTTTCGCATAGAATCACCCCCTTTCCGTTTGCACCACCAGTTACCAACCACCCTGTACATGTACATTTTTATATTGGTCGTCATTTTTTTCGATATAATGTAATTAAATTTCAGAGAGTGTTGCACGATACACGTAAAATAAAAGTGACAAAAATGTTCTTCTTTGAAATATGCATATATTCTTCTGAATTTATCTATCACAATGAATTTATCTGCTAATTATTCAAAACGATAGATAATACATAGTACATAAACCGAGTAAAATTCTCATATTCATTGGCAGGGTACGCATACATACAGACCTACGTTAAATAGCAAGCGTTGCCAATGAACTAGTGGCTGGGTACACGGATGACGAGGACGTCGAAGATCTCCAGTGTGTCCCACATAGCGGATCTGAGATTACTGTGATATTTATTTCTCCCTTTGTATAGACTCTCTCGCTGCGACAGAACGAACCGGTGTGGGCATATATACCTATATCAAAGAACTCCCGGGAATTAGATATCGTAGACTCGGTGTAAGATGCTTTTCCACGGCTGATCCTCCTTTACGTGAATGCGGATTTCTCCGATGCTTGAATCCAACCGCCGTTCTACCCTAACCACCCCACCTTCTTCCAGTTCTTTTCTTCCCTTCTCTGTCTCTTTCGACCTGCCACCAAGCGTACTCCGGTAATTATGCTCCTTTCGATCGTGATTTTGATTAAACCAGCACATAGGCTAAATGGTCTGGTTGCCGTTGCTTTTGCAGTTTCGTGGATAGCGAATTCATTTTTGAGAAATTTAAGGAGACACCCGATAGTACAGATTGTGTTTTACGCATAAAAAATATAACGACGCCTATAGATATTGATTTTTCATGTAATAAGAGCATCGTTGGAAACCTAACGCTTGCGTTCTTAGTGTACAGCCATTAATCTTCTGCACTTTTTATTAATAAACGGTAAATAAAAAATATAGAATAAGATTGTCGAAAAGAGGCGATACGCTTTCGAGAAAATGGAACTAAAAAGATACGAAGTAATTAATATTAGTGTCCAGATACCTATAGTTAAGTATTAATCCTAAGTATAGGTATTAATCTTTGAACACATAAGAATGACGAAAATATAGAACCCAACGACTCGAGTACAAATTGAATGCAAACTCCGCCTTCATATCAAAGGATCACATCAGCGACGTTCTAAATTACCCAAAGAAACTGAGTTTTACCACGAAACCTAATTTAAGAATAACGAGGCGAGATGGTCGCTAATAATTCAGGTGCCAATGCGACATAAAGCCGAAATAAAAAGAAATGTATCTGTCGATGATATTAATAAATTGGCAAGTTATAAATTCGAACAATTGAAGATTATAGACCTTGGTTCTACAATCGTACAACTTCACGTTAAATAAAATAATTTGAATCTTAAAAAACTCCATTCGATTTATCACCGAAAACATTGCTATCAAACGCTGTCACAAACACATCCAACTTGTAACCTGTAAAATGTCGTCAGTGATATTAATTTAGTCATGCAAGGGGGTTCGGTATATTATAACCAAATATCTGTAACTTTTCTTCATTCTACGCAGCCGTACTCGCAATGATCTCTTTTCGGCATCAAGAGGATCGTGAAACAATTTAAATACGTCAAGACCGTTTTGTATCACGAGAACCAAGAAGGACAGAGACCGGAAGTAAAAGAGACGAAGAGACTGTGGACGCGTTCCGGTGAAAGGAACGGAAAGTAATTTCCAGGAAATGACCAGCGTTCAATATCCAAAGCGAGATTTCTTTTGATCGGTAGCGTCGTTCAGTAGCGACGTCAGTTTTTCCAGCAGACTTTTCCGGACCCTTCGTTTAATAGAGAATTGGTTGCCCCGTTGTCTATTGATGTTGGGCAACTGATACACAGAAAGATTGAGAAGAGAAAGACGTCGTAGTCTTGTACCTTGTCGACACGACAGAGAACGTGGAAAAGGCCAGTCCGGACCAGTCTGTTGGTCGTTTATGCATTTCCGCTCGGCTGGCTATCGAGTGTCCTCTCGTTTCGTCGCCTTGCCCTCAAAGGAAACCACATTACAAAGACGGTCAGCCTCGTCTAATGATGTGGTCGAACTTCTGTTGGACCAGTCTAGAATCGACGTGTCTCTACATTTTCATTGTTGCCGCGTCTCCGAGCACTTTGACTTTTCACACTTCTCTCACTTAGCGTCCTTTCACGGAACTCTGCTCTTTTGTTGTTCTGTTTGCTTATTTGCGTGCTGCAAGGGATATTCGAAAGATCGTAAAGCGTCAATGCGTAAAAGTAATATCTATCTTTGCTGGCCAGATGGGTTTATGGTTATTCGATTCATGGGGTTGAGTATCGATCGATCGATAGTAATGATTAGACTAGTTGTTATGTATCGTCATGCATGTGTATATGTCTTATGCTTCCTTTCAGCGTGGAGTATGTCGTTACAGCTAACGTAACGGTCATGTAAGTCGGTAACAAGAAAAGGTAAGGGAGGAAGTAAAATGAATTGTGTCTAACAGATGATTACGTTTAAATCTTCTAACATGCCATCTAACGTTAGACTTAAACGTAATCATCAAATCAGACACAATTCATTTCCTTATGTGCGAGGTGGATTGAATAATGTCAGAATTTGGCTAGTTTAAAGAGCGTATGAAGTGTCTAATTGAAAGATCCAGTATAGTGTCCTGTACTATTGAGATTGCCATCTGAGTAGGTATGTCCGTATTTCGTACCAGTCTCAGTTCGTTGTCTGTTCACGAGGCTTTGAACTGAGACTATTTCTTCGATGTAAACTTTTGAGGCAAAGCATCAAATTAGGCAAGCATATGATATATGCCAAATGGGCTTTTAATTATATATAATAATTAATATATATAATAAAAAACAACGAGATATATTTATGAAAGGTGATAACTGTGCGATCGATGATTAGCGGATTCTTATGCAGATTCATATTTCTATGAATATAATTAAAGTTAGATAGGAAATTGTTTTATTTACTAAATATTACAGATAGTACTATACTCTGAATATTTCACACTATTTTCTAAACTGTTTACATTCTCATAAATGCATAAAAATCTGCGCTTTAGAATAAAAATCTTTATGATAAGAAGCTTTTATTAACGTTGTATACTAATCTAGAATACTAACTTTGGTTAGTAACAAGTTCTGCGACTCAACAAAACTAGTTGAAATAATTGGAGATTGGTAATTTCGTATCTTCAAATTGTGCTTTAAGGCGTGATACTTGTTCCGATTTCTTAGAAAACTATATGTGATCGATTTCAGAATCAGAAAAGGAGAACAAGGGTGGCGTGGAGCTACTTATGACCCAATCATCGTCGTTCAGCCGCGGAGAAGATTCGAATTTGCTGGTAGAGCTTCGTTTTGAGATGCGCCCTCTTACCCTCTGTGCCTGTTGTTTTATCAGGTATTAATTATACAGGGTGTCCGTGTCCTTCTTTCGGTCATACGTTGTCGATATATTCTATAGGTCGAGCTAGGTAAAAAATGTCATATAAAAATATTTCATTGAAAGCATTGTTAAAGAGCTGTAACAAAAAAGAAAAGGAAGATGATAAATAAAATGGGCGGTAATGAACGTACGTTACTACAGTGCAACGCATAAATAGGTCAGGAATGTTCAACGGGAGAATGTTCAATAAAGGAAAACTTTAAATAGTAATAAATTCAGTTTTTTTATCGCTGCCAATCTTATACTGACAGGAACGATGAAGATTTTAAAACGGAGTTGTAGTTGGAGTCACAGAAATATACGATAGCTTCTGAATACTATCAAATCTAAATATTCCTAATCTGTTTTTTGTTATAACTCTTTAACAATGCATCCAATGACATACTTTTATATGACATTTTTTTTCTTATCTTGGTCTATGGAATATACTGACAATGTATAGCTGGAGGAAATTGGGACAATCTATATTCTTTCTCGAAACTATATCGAAAATCTATATTGGATAATAAATTTTTTCATAGGATTACATGACTCGAAATTTGAATTATTTGTAGAATTCAGCTTTTCGATCGATTTATAAGTACGTATAGTATTGTTCATAATTAATATAATGATATAATGAATATTAGTTCCATTAGATTCATAATGAATATTTGTTCTATTTCCAAATTCTATTTTATACGCGATAGAGCATTCCAATTAAAAAAAATGATGAATTTTGATACGGATTTAATATTCATAAAATTTTACAAAACTTAATTCTCTTACTTTTAGGATGTATATTTCGCTCGAAATAAATATAATACACAATATAAATTCTATAAATAATATTCTTACAAATATCGAAACATTTCTTAATATACATAAAATACTGCGGTTCTATAATTTATATAATTTTTACATCAAATTTCACAATACTATACGTATACAAATCATGTCTGTTCCAAATTAATCCAACTTATACAACTCAAACTTTCTCAAAGCTTTTGAACTATCACTTAAAAAATTGTACATTCAATATTAAAAACCTCTAGACATACTTGTTGCCTATTCCTTCGTCGTTTACTCGTCGGCCTGTGTCTCGTAGAATTTTCCATCTTTCTCAATCTCGTCTTCGCCTTTCTTTCACTTAGAATCAGATTCTCCGTGAATTCTTTTATCACAACATCGATTCTTCGATCAAGCGATTCATCTGAATAACTGCTATCCGTGTCAAAATCGTAGGTAGGCAGCAAATCCACTTTTCTCACATAACCTTTCCACTCTTCTCTAACCTTCTTCTCGCTTTTCTCGTTAGGTCGTTCGTTCGACGTATTTCGAAACTGACCACGTGAACAATCAGTTAAGGTTCCAGAATCTAGAGATTCGGTGATCAATTTAGACGAATTCGAAAAGCTTGGCGTTGAGTTCCGTTGGTAATAGCACACAGTATAGGAATCCACTGGGATGTGATCGAAAAATTCCCTAGTGTCTTGTAACATGTTGTCGTCTTTGAACGAAACGTCATTTGAAAAACAATCGTCGTGGGACGATTGCAACTTTGATAAAGAAATGTCCCTAGCGGAGCAATACTCGATCGACGAGCTTGGACTGCATTCTTGCTCTCTTAACGAGTTGCGATTGCAATTCAAGTTCGAATTTGCAAAACGGAATTTGTGAATGGAAGATGTACGGTTTCGGGAGGTTTGTACCGACTGTTCTGTCAATTCTTGCTTCGTTTTTTGGTGCTTCGTTGCCGACGCTGTCACCAGTACAGATTTCGGTTCGTTGGGGTAAATATTATATAACGTGTATCGATAGTAATCATAGTGATTCATAGTAACTTCTGTCGAAGGTTGATCTATTTCTAAAATATCGTTCGAATCCTCTGCATCGTGGAAAAGATCGTCATCGTGAAGCGAAAAATAATCATCATAGTCCTCTTCCAATCGTTTCTTCACGTTTCCAAGGATTATCACTTCGGAAGTTTTATCTTCGACCAAATAATTGTTCGATTTCCATGACACGTTTGAAGTTTTTAGTGAATTTACATTGGATTCAACGGGAACAGAATTTTCAAGCGTAATTCCTTCTTCGTCTTCCACACGGTCTGTACTATCTATAAAATACGTGTCGTTGCAAGCTATCGATTTAGATATATCGACGTCGTTCTCCATCCTGTTATTCAACATTCTTTGAAGATCGTACTTTCTGTTTTCGCTTAAATCTTCTTTTCTTCTATTATACCTTCGCAGTATTTTCGTCAGATTATCGCTGGCGAAATTTGTCACGCCGCCATTACTGAAGAAATTTTCTGGTAACAAATTAATATTTTTAATCGTTCCGCGTCTTTTAAGTTTGACAAACTTATTTTCTTTTCTACGAACTCTCGACAAATTCTCCGCATCGTATTTTCTCGGCCTTTTCTCTGTTGTGTTGTTTCCGTGTTTTCTCGATGCTATTTTCTTCATATACCGAGTTCCTAGCAATTCTAAATTTGTCTTACTCCTTTCGCTATGGAAATTCGCGCGGTCAGTCGCGAAGATCGTCTTAATGTCTTTAGAAGACGATGTGTTCGTCGAAGTATAATTTTCTTTTTGATTATGTTTAACATGCTTTTCCGATTTTATAGGATACGATCTGTCCGTTTGGCAACAAACACTTTTCTTTGACTTTACCATTTGATTATTATAAGATCTGTTATATGTGGTACGACGAGAATTGTATTCGCTTTCCGATACGAATTTAGTAGATTTTTTCACCGTGTAATCCGATTGTCTGTTATCGATTTTATCAGCAACGAACGTATTATCGTTACAAGCATCTTTTTTCTTCTTTGTGTTTTCTATAAATTGGCACTGATCGATGGGCTTATCGTCGCATGGCTCTAATTTGCAAGAATGTTTCTTCGAAAAATGGCAATTGTGTACTACCTCAAGGTCACAGTGTGGTGAATGTACATGCGTGCAATGTAGCGGTGTATGATGCGAAACGTGGGTACAGTAACAGACCGGTTTGTAAGAAAAGAAGAAAACGCACCATGGATTACTACCAATTAAGTTGGGACTGGTTTTCCATAAAATGCTTTGATATCTGCAAATGTTTTTAATTTAAATCATTTAATTGTTAGACAGTGCAAATTTAGTTATTTAATCGTTTTAGGTAAAATAATAATACTTTCGCTCTATGAATAGTTCGTTATTGGACTTTGATTTGGGCAGATATCTCGAAATTGTTATCTTTGGAAAGAAAAAGAAACTACTCTTAGCGGGTGAATAAAACAAATTAAAGTGAAAATACCTGTGAATAAAGCTAAGGTATTGCATCAAAATATTCTTGATAATAGCTATGCCCCAAAATTGGTGAGTATTTTTATTATTATTGTCCTGATGATCCAGTTTTAAACCGATCGTGACAATTTTTGGTATTTTAGGTATGAAATCCATACAGTCCTTTTTAACTGGCAACTTCTTGGAAATATAATAATCGTCAAAGCCTTGGCTACTTAGGCGTTTTATGACAATTTCCGGACACCATCTTTCATAGCTTGTTTTACGTGGGAGACAGTGATCGTATCGTTGAAAATCGCTCTTTATCCGATCGATGTAAAGGGATGCCATTCCAAATGTGTTCAATTTTCATTACTATACCGAGAAAGATATAATATAAACAGTTTTTTATCTGGTTTTAAAAATGATTGATGTATAGAGTTATAATTAACTAAATCAAACATAAATATGACCAATGATAATTGTTACAAATATTAATTAATTCCACAAATTGATCTGTTACATATATGGAAAATATTTTATGTAAATTGACCGTATTTATCAATTTTTCAAAACCTGCAAAATGTCCCTCTTTGCACTCTATATATTTTTGTATAAAATTTCGACATATAATTGAATTTTCTCCTAAGTTAATTCAAGCTATATATATATATATATATATATATTACTATAAATATAAATTAAAGCTGCTGCAGTAATATATTCAAATTTATTCAATATAATAACGCACGAGTCACATGGTCTTTTTATCTTTAGATTAAGAAATTAATTTATACTGAGAGAACTGCTTGAACTTTTCAATGTAATCTGTTTTATCATGAATATTATAAATATGTTAATAAATGTGCTAATATAACAGACAGCGAACACTTACAATGAACGAAATGCATTCCTAGTTTGGCATTTAACTAAGTTTGAGGTTAACCAGGAATGAATCGATGAAATCACATTTTGGCCATTATCAAATTTCCAACTAGGTGAATGTAATCCACTGTGACAAATGAATTTGCGTGGATCGTTTTGGGAGAATGCGTTTACATGAAATTCTGTATAATTGACCAAGAACTCGCTTATCAAATTTCTGTCTAATCCGAGAAACGTAAATAGTATGATATGACAGAGCGATGAAACAACAAAATATACGTGTATCCCGCTATAGTATGTTGAAATTATTGACGCAATCTAGGACGGCTATTCGGAGCAGAAAATTTAAATTGCACCGAATAATTGGAAATAACAGTGATAAATGATCTTAATTTCATTGAAACTCTCACATCTAATTTGCGGCAAGATCGCTGTATTATTTATTACTATAGAAACGAATAATAACGATTGTACTCAATTCTCTTGGAAACAATGTTTCACGGATAATAATCGAGTAATTGAAAATGATAAACGATGTAAATTCCAAAAGAATAAAAATTGCAGGCTTTATCATTGAGAAGAGACGAAGAATGCGATAGAAAAATGTTGCGAGTACTGCAATAATTTATTTTTAGCTTTTCAAAGAAAAGATGATAAAAATAAAACTGTAACGTAAAAATAAATTTAATCAATGTAAAAAAACAGGTTTCAAATGACAAATAAGGAAAGGGCAAAAATTAGTATAAAAGAAACGAGTCGTTAATTCTTATCGAAAATGTTCAATCGTTTACCATTTCGTCTCCTCGATTATCGCGTTAGAGATATTTGTACAAATAATCAATTCAAAAGATTGATCCGAAAGCATAAAAGTTTGCAAAATGTTTAGTCATTGGTCGCGTGGTTGATTGTATCGAATCTTGTGAACTAACCTGCAGGGATACGCGCTGGCTAAATGCATTTGCGTCTCTGTAATCAAAGAGCCATTATCATGCTGGCAAAGGAGCTAATGGAGAGCTATGAAATTCCCTCCATGAAACTGTCGACGATCGTCGTGATGTTAAGTCATGTGTAATGGAATGCTTCATCACGTAGCCCAGGTAGTTAGTACACGCATTTAATATACCTCACCTCTGTTCACCGACCTACGTTCCTTTTCTGCTGTACCAGCTAAATAATTACGCGCGTTACAACCCCTATCATGCACCGACTTATTAATTTTCCAAGGTAACAATGACATTTGGAAACATCCACCTAGCCCTCTTATATCCTGATGTTTCTCATATTTTTATCTATGTATCTAGTAGTAAGTTATAACTAAATATATCGTAGTATGTTTTCATTCTATCGTAAGTGTGTGTAGTAAAATTTATCTACTTCGTAGTATTTGCATTAAATATCGATGGATGGATTAAAGATTAAACATCTGATGATTATCAATAGTAATAATAATCCGTCAAATAATATGAATTAATTGCATATTTAATGGGCATTTTTTCGATTAAATTTTTGTAGCATATTATTAAGTTAAATTCAAGAAGTATTAATTCTGCAATATGGAGTATCGGAAGAAGGAACGAAAAGGAGGCTGATTGATACGGAAATGTGAAGGAGGGAAATCGTTATTGGTTGGAACAGGGAAGAAGAAAATGTATTGTATGTAATTTAAAGACACGCGTTTTAAGACACTCGTTAAAAAACTGCTATAGACTTGATTCTAGAGTAGTAAGCTAGAAATAAAGGGTAAAAATATAGACAGCCAACTAATTGCAAGCCAAGGATAGATATGTGATAATATGTAAATTAAGTAGGAAAATGTATATAGATTAAGAGAAACAAAGATATACATGTCTAATTCGTAGATTAGATGTAAGAGGGGACGTGTGTGATGGTGTAAGTGTTGTATGGCAATGAGTGACAGTTGGATATATGTAAGCCAAGTCTTTCTTGCAAGTTGTGAATTTGAAAAAATAAATGAATATCGTCATTATTAAATAACTTACGTTGTTAATAAAACATCTATCGGACTATTTTTATTACTATTGTTATACGCATTTACCTATTTTCGTTATATAAAACTTAATTACACAATCCAAAATCGTAACCTACGATTTAAAACTAGGCAAAAGTATTATACAATTGAAAATACTTTACCAATTTACATTTACCTTAAAAGATCATCCTATATGATACGATATATACAATATTTCCATCTTTGTTGTTATTTCTGTGTTCAGAGGTAGGATCACAATAGCTATTATTTTATTCTTTGGATAAATCTATCACACCGTTCTGAGCCGAGAAACCTTTATTGCACTTCTTTATATGGACGAAGGATAAAAACAAAAGAACATCTTAAACCTATAGATTAAATCTATCGATTGTATCTGAAACTATCTTCTAGTTACTATTTATTGCAACTAGCGCATCTGCGTATAGAAGGCGAGCGCGAACTCACGTTGCCATTTTCGACAATCCTTTAATCAGATAATTTGCGAGTAATTTTCAATAGGATATAATTTTTAATCATAGAATAAAACGTATACAAAAGAAATATCTTGCGCCATAAAGAATAGTAACATTAACAGGCATGTATTGTTCTACATTTTCCCCTTTGTATAATTGAAGTTATCAAAAATATTGCATGACAATGTGCAAACGCAGATGATAAAAAAGGTATCAGGATTCTATCGTTCACGGCAGAATAATCCGTAGCGGGGCTGAAAATTTCGGACAAGTTGATTTCGTGACGAAGCAACAAGTGCAGGATGGAATGGGGAATAGCGGAAACGAGGGTGAGGAGGTAAACGGAGGGAGAATGGGAGAAAGAAAGGGAAGCAAATGGAACACCGTGAGAGGAATAGCCAAAGTAGTACGAGTAAAGAACTGAACCGGCACGAAATCACCTGACTTTGATAGGCGTGCGAGCCCACTTTTATTTTACAACATAATCGTATTTCTTTTGCATCACGTAACCACTTTACAAATGAATTAACGCGATTGATATGCGATTAAATTAAAATACGTTCTCTGTATTTCATTCGAATCTCCATATAACATGTGTGTGGTTATATGCTGACTAAAATGAAAGCAATCTATTATTTTAAATTTAAAGATACTTTTTTTTATTTGAAGGTCTAATCATTTTAAAATGAAAGAATTCATTTATAAATACGTTCCTTGGTAATTTTGGCGTGAAATCACGTTTCTGACGTGTCACTGTATACTCTTGCATGGAAGAAAACCTATCGCTTTTCCATCGATCGTAGCTTTTTCCATAAATTGCCAATGTTTACGTATTTATGGAAAACGTGAAAGTGTACAAATATACAGAGCGCAGACGGAATATCGTAGGTCGAGGTACTCATAAATCATTTACTGTATGAGTTCTTCAAAGAGTAGCCATAATATCTGCACATATCCAACGCGTTGAATAACAAACGTTGACAGTCGTACAATTTTCAAGGTAATATTGTTCAAAGCTGGAAACTTGATAGCTGCGACGATAGTTTTCTTTTTAATACTTCACAGCACACGATAATTGTTCTAACTACGAGGCATATCTTAGCATTGAATAATTCGTATCACGGAGATCGTAGTGCTTAATAAGTCAGTTCCCTGGTCTTGCTTAAAACGATGACCATTCTAAAACTATTATGGTTACAATGGATACGCGTGACGAATTAAACATTTGAAGACCGAAATGAATACACTCATAAGAATCTATATGTCGGGTTTACATTAGAATTAGGGGCGTGAAACGAATCTCAACGAATCTTCGTTTGGGTTACACGTTGTCGTTATGCAATAGAGAAGACATTGATTAGTGCAAATACGATTATTATAGAGCCGGACAAGTAACCGTGGTAGTTAGGTACTCGAGAAACTAATGACAATGATCCTAGGTTCAATAACGAATCCGCGGTCGACGGGATGATAAATGAACGTACTCACGAAATCTAAGTCGGACGCGTAATATTCACTGGTCGTAAAGGGTTACTCCTTTCATCAATGGGATCGCGAGCGAGAATGCCTTTCCCGTCCCGATCATGCCACAGAGGAAAACTATAATGGGGTGTGTCTAAGGACACGAGATCATCGGATTCGTCGAGAAAAGCCTTCGTTCAGAAAGTAAGGGAAATTGGCGTTGCTGCCAATTGGTCAATCTCCATATCGGTGGTTAGAAAAAGATGCTAGCCGCCCTCGAGGGAAAGCTGCTAGTGGGAGACGCCGCTCGTTGAAAAATAGGTCTCCCCTATCTTCCCGCAGTTGGGACAAAGACTGTATGTCTGTTTGAAGGAATTTAGTTGACTAAATCTTAAGATTTATAACGGGCCCTCGAGCTAGCCGAACATGTACTGCGGAGACGCATCGACATCTGGCAATCATCTTACTCGAAGAATTGGGTCTGCGTATGGCGAGCCACGGGACAGAAACCGTTGGAATGTTTACTGTCGCGTATCGCCACGAATATTTCTTTTAAGGAGAGCTATAGAATTACTCCATACCTTTGTTAGACAAAGCGTTCATCCCGTGACCGCGGCTACGTTCGGCGACTGACTGTCGCCTCGAGCCCAAGCTCATTATCACAACTCTCGAACAATTACAATCGGATTGAATAACTACAATTGTTCAATTACAGCTATAGTAGACTCTAGGTTACAATGTTGCGGGATTATCCAAAATTCCAATGGCTCCGGTGTTCTTTCATCTCCGACATATAC